GGGAGTTATGCATGATGAAGTGAAATAACCCAAATGCCAGCATTAATTATGAAGTGGGGTGGGTTGGTCTTCACCCGCAGTCCTTTGCCACAAACACTGAACTACTTAAAAGCAGCGTGAGCGCTGCTGACGCACCAGGCTGGGTGCCCAGGGCTTGCCCTGACCTCCATCCCTCTATGTAAGCTCTGCTTTGGGCAGGTCCTAGTCCAGAAAACCAAGATAACCCAAGATTAGACCTTTAGTTTATTGCTAATCTGACAAACTAATCGCACCCTACCGGTTGCATTACTCATTCACTGGAGCAGCTTCCTCAGCAGACTCACGCGGTATGTTAGGAACGTATGAGCAGATGTAATCCAAAGTGTGGGGCACTTGCAGCTCACTCCAACAGGTAATGGGGTCCAGGAAAACATATTCTGACATGTTATACCAACACCAGAACCAGCCGAGTATGAGATGGCCTGAAAAAAGGGGGTTAGGTGCTAACTGGGTACAAAGGAAGCATCTCTGCTCGGAGACAGGAACAAATGAGACATCCTGAGCTGCCCTTGGGGCCTGGAAGAACAGCCCCGATGAGATCTAGATGCATCTTACCTTTATAATCTTCACTTTGCTGAAGCCAAATCACAGGGAAATAGGCAAATACAAACATCGAGAAACCAAAGAGGACTTTCCCACCCCACTACCACTCAGGAACTCACTGCCTGGCTCTTCAGAGCAGCACAGCCCTCCCCTGCTCTTTAAACCTTCCCATTTCTCCATCAGCTGCGCAGCAGAAGGCAGCAGCAGGAGGAATGACTGCAGCCCTGCAGCACCCAGCAAACCCAGCCTGGCTCCACCGAGACAGGCCTCCTGCACCAAGGGCCCAAAGCACCATCAACAACCCACAGCCAGCTCCCATCAACTTCCCAGCAAGGGCACGCTGTAAGCTTTCCTCTTATAATTGTTCCCGACACCCTGGAGCCAAACAACATAACCAGGCTGGAAAACTGGCTCTGTCTGTCTCCTGGAACCAAAACCAAGACAAACCATCACCTTGCTGCAGCTGTGTATTTCCTCTGGATGAGATGGTTTGGTGGGAAATTGTCTCCAAACCCAAGTTTTTCAGAAGTCTCCAGCCCCCACAGGTACAGACAGATGATAAAGTGCTTTTGAGAGCGAGTAATATAGAAAACCACTCGTGGTGAAGTGAATTATTTATAGGCTATGCTAAGATTTGTCAGAGGTTTCAGCAACCCCTTTACACATAATGATAGCCAGGAGTGGGAGACTGGGCAAATTGAGACCTGTTAACGAGACAAACTGAAGGGTTTGTAGGAGCTGCCACCAGACAGCTAGAAAAACACCTACAGGGCCAGCTGATATATTCACTTTGTCATATAGGTGGAGAAGGAGAAAAGCCATCATGACTTAACAAGAGTCCACGGGAAGAGCAGCCTGTCTGGGTGGGGAAGGTGGAGCTCCCACACCCTCGGACACGTCTGCCAGCAGCAGGATTGAGTCTTCACAAGCCAAAGGTGTGGGAGAGCCTCAAGCAGGATGCTCGGCTCACCAAGGACTACCTGTGACCAGGAGGTCCCACATGCATCCTCGTGATGCTCTGGCTGTGCATCCCCACACAAGGGCAGGTCGCTGTGCCTCAGCCTCCTCGTGCAACCCCTCAGCCAACTGCTTCAGGGCCAACTGCAATTTAGAAGAGAGCAGATGCTTTATTTGAAACCTGCATATGGAAGATCCCCATACACAGATCCTGAATTATTCATGGGCAGGACCAGCAGAAGCTGTAACACTGTGCCACACAACGGCACTGCCTCACTCAAGAGCAGCAGAAGGAGCATTTGTGTCCCTCCACAAGCTGCCCCACATGCTTTCTCCAGGCATCCAAAACTTGGGAGCCCCACAGGAAAGCCCTCTTGGTAGTACTGGGTAGCTGGAGCACTCCCTGAACTAATAGCTTCAGGGACATACCTGCTGCGTATGTTCCAAGATCACTCTTCAGCAGGGACTGTAATGATAGGACAAGAGGCAATGGGTTTAAACCTAGACAGGGGAAGTTCAGGTTGGATATAAGGAAGAAGTTCTTTACTGTGAGGGTGGTGAAGCCCAAAGAAATGGTAAATACTCCATCCCTGGCAGTGTTCAAAGACAGGCTGGACATGCCTTGGGTGACATGGCCTAATGTGAGGTGTCCCTGCCCATAGCAGGGGGTTGGAACTGGATGATCTTAAGGTCCTTTCCAACCCAAAGCATTCTATGGTTCTATGATGACCTTTCCTCCCCCAAGATAAACCTGGTTCAAGATTATGCACGGGAAAGTTGCTTCATCCCAGCCAAGGCAAAGCCCAGGTTTCCCCTCACCACACTGACCCACTCCACAAAACCTCATGTCTCCATATCCCTGTGGCACCCCAATCACCCCCCGTGCCTACCCATGGACATGCCGGCAGCCTCCACCAGAGCAGAGGCCTCTTGTAAGACAAGGCTTGTCACCAAGTGTCTACACACCAGCATCTGCCCTTTCCAGCCATTGTATTCCCATGTTCATGTATGGGGAGGGGAAAAAAATGCAGCTCCCAGCCCATTTTGAGTGTGAACAGACACAAAGACATATGGCTGCAGGGATCTCACCGCACCACTGCTCACTCCTGAGGAAAGGGTCACCTTTAAAAATGGAAACTTAATTAAAGACCATAAATAAAACCAGACCGGCCGCGCTGTTAACTCGGGAGCAGTTGGTGCCATTTGGCCCAGCACAGATGAAGACGGAGAGCTGCACGTGATTCCAGTGGCCAGGAAAGCACAGACGCTCCCCAGCCAGCAGGATTCATCACATTCAGTGAGCACAGTAATTAGCCCTGCTCTCATGCTATGCTGCACATGACTATCGCGGATGGCTGCAGAAGCACAGCAGCTGCTTAACGTATCCTAAATGTCATACTTGGGATCAGCACCAGGCAAACTCAGAGAACTCTTCATGACTGCTAAGCAGAGAGGCTCTGGAAAAGGAGCACCCTCTCCCAAAGTGGGAAACAGTCTCCTATGAAAATAGTGACTCATCTTACTCTGGATAAAGGTGGAATACGCTGTGTTAACACGCATACCGCTTATTTCCAGCCGTGTTTCCTGCCAAAGAAGCCATTATCCACCCCAGCATTCCTCACTCTAAAATCCTAACGTGTATGAAAAGTCAGGAAAACACAGTTCCTTGAATTTCTTTGATTTCTCAGAGCCCTCACCCCACTGGCACCTGCCATTTAACACTCAACCCAATTTTTCTCACTTCTTTTGTGCACCGAAACATATATATAGAAGAGGGGAAAGGAAAAAAAACCCTAATCCTTGTCACCTTGCCAGGACATTCCTCTGCAAGCATTCATGGTACAACTTGTACCAACAGCAGAGCCTGAAATACTTCTCCTCGCTCCTGCAGTCCAGTTGGCACAGCCAACCGAACAAGCTAAGGGGAAGTCTGTGGATCCTTCCAAGAAAAAGCCTGCTACCAAAAAAGCCATCAAGGAAAGCGGCACATCCCTGCAAAGACAGACAGAGCCAACTTTCCCCACAGCAACAGATTCAGAGAGGTTCAAGTTTTCCTGCCTCCTTCCAAGCCAGAATTGCTGCACGGGGAGTTCAAGTCTCTACCCATCCTCCAAGGGGTGATGATGATCCTCAGGGCTGAAGTACTTGGAGAAGGGCTGCTGGCAACTCCCCAGCATCTCCTGCAGAACTGGGCTGCAGGATAAGCAGGGGCACATCACTCCCAAGGGAGGAGAGCCCACCATGGTGTGACATGTCAGGAACGGGTTCTCCCAGGGGCCATCCAGCTGCCTGAGCCTGGCATCCAACAAGCTTCTTGCTCAGGGAGCCCCAAAATGTGGGACTATCTCAGCACCCCATTTCTTCTGGTGAGTTATCACTCAACAGCTTTCTGCCACCACCAGCCGATTCGTATCTGTCACACTGTGCCCATGGTGAAATGTTTCACTGCTTGCTCCCTTTTCACCAGACCACAGCTAACCACTACCTGGAGGCTACAGCAAAACTGCAGCCAGGAGAGACACAAAACCTGCAAAGCCATAGGAAGACCATCTAAGCAAGCCCAAATGATTTCTACATCTAAAATACCACATGCAAAGATAGCAAGACCTGCCCAAACTGGGGGGTCAAACCCCTAAACCAGCACAGAGTGAAGTGAATCCCTGAGGACATTACTTTGCCTTTGGTCACTGCCTCCTCCCCAGCCCCTCACACTGAGAGCCAGCTGCCTCTGCTGAACACCATCAATCCCAGCCCAGGAACAAAGCCAAAGTGCTTACAGATGCGCCAAGGGGACTCAGCTGCAGAGATGGTGCTTTCACCACCCTCCCTTGCCCAGGCTTTGCTCTGCACCAGGCAAAGCCAGAGCTATCTTTTGGGGTGAGCACCAATGACCAACCCACCCTGCTCCAGAAGCTTCAGGCTCTTCACGCTTGAGCACCAGAGGAACCCTCACGTGAGCAAATCAAGCACCCAAAAGGCTCCTTTTATACCAGCTCAGGCACTATCCTCACACCACAAAGATGAAAAAGCAAAGTCCCCATAGGAAAGATTAAGTGTAGTGCTTAAAGATGCTCAGAATCAGTAATTGGCTTTGCAAAACAGACTAATACCTCCCCCAACCCCACCACCACCCAGACTGAATGACTTCAGTAATTACACTGGACTGACAATGTCTGCAGAGCCCCCCAACCTGCATCCCCAGATGCCCCCATTTTTAATGAGTCCATATCCCAGCATTTCGGCACAAGATGCCACACGAGCTGATCTTCAGTGGTATTTTTAGCTTCATTACCCAATATAGTTTCTGCAGAAGTTCAATTTTCAGATGTTAGAGGTTAAAGGGATGAAATCTAAGCTGGGTTTGGGTTTTTATAGCATGTCGAACCTTCACCACTCAGGCTGATAGCAAAGTAAGCATGGTAAGCATTTGGATGTGCATCTAGACCTGACAACCTCGATTAACATTTACCCACATTCATGTGATCGTCAATACAAGAAATAAGCTTGGAGAGTCAAACATTTGTAAGCCAAAGCGAGATGCTTGGAAGACCACAGCACATTTGGCATGTGGTAGAGCAGACACTAAGGCTTGCAGTTGGGTTTTTTTAGTTATATGGAAGAACCAAGATGTATTTTCTTAAATAGCATATTGAGACCTTGAAACCTTCATTTTACTGGAGAGCAGAACTGGTTCTCCATGTTGCAAACCGTAAGTGGTGTGAAAAGCAAAACCAGGCAGGAGCATGTTGTTGGGTCCTCTTTACCCGTCTCCCCCAAATTTAGCTGAACCTGACCCACTTCCAAGTTAACAGTGTTACTCTGCACTAAGAAATCAAAGCACTGAGAAATCAAAGCAAAGCCATGTAACATGCTGCAATAAATTGCTCAACATCAGAAGTGACATTACCCTCTGTACATGCAGGTGCCACAGACACAATCTGGAAGAGCACATCAAGGAAGGCAGATGCAAAACTAACTTTGGAGGTTGGGTTTTGCCTCCAGATTCCCAGGGTTTTCTGCTGAGCACCAAGCCAAATCCATGCCACTAGAAAAGGAGGGTCCTGTCTGCAGCTATGCCCTTATGCATCCAGCATGCCGTGGTCTTTCTCCTCTCCCCTAACAGTTACGATTTTAGAGAATCAGATTCATCTCTGTCTCTGCACTGGTTTTATTCTTAGCCCAACTAAGGGATGAGCATCAAAAAAATGCTTTGCATAAGGCTCTTATTTAACTTCCAGGCCATTTGTTTTCCAAAATCACTAAGCATCAAATGCAGAAGAGAAACTGTGAGAGCAGCATTTTGAGACAAAACAGAGAGTGAGAGTAATGGCCTTCAGAACAGATCAGCCCCTGTGGTTAAAGCATCTACAGCATTTCCAGCCACACAGCATTTGACTGAGTAGCACCCAAAAGCACTGCCAGCCTCCCACGGGAGGCTGTGAAAGAAAACAAGGACACAGGGAGAGCTGTGAGGAGAGCAGGCAGGAAAAATCAGCTCGGAGAAAGTTGTGAGGGGAATGCAGGAAGAGAAACAAAAACAACGAAAGCGGGGAGGAAGAGCAGCAGAAGAGGAAGCGGAGATGAGCAGTGGAAATGAGCTCTTCTCACTCCTCCCTTCAGCCTTGGGAGCCACAGACCAAGCCCAACCACACAGCTTTATTTTCTACTCCGAAGAGAGCTGATGCAACCAGTTACAGCAATGCATAGCTCCACAGAAATGAGAGGGGTAGGGTTTGTTGTTGTTTTTAGGATGCCTTTAAAGTGCATGAAGAAACCAGGAGGCAAAGGTGCCACTGGCATTAGCACAACAAAGCTAAACTGACACAGAGACAGAGTGCAGCCAGCACTGATACCCAGCACAGCAGTGCCCAGGTCTCCCACAGCTCTCCTCCACACCACAGCGCTGCACTGAACATTCCCTAATGCAGTCGGGATGCCCATGGCCAAGGGGAAGCAGGGAGCTGGTACCTTTCATTGCCTGGCTGGAACTCGGAGAGCAGGGACGGTCTCCGCCGCTGCGGCTGCATGATAGACCCCGGCGGGAGGTGGGAAGTGAAATCCCTGGAATGATGCTGGTACTCCAACAGCGCGACGTCCTGTGGGAACAAACACACAACAGTTCTTTAGGCTGGTGGCAACTTTCAAGCAAGCATTAAACCTTGGTAACTGAGCAGAAACCATACAGATACAGTGCTTCCACCTCCCAGAGTGTTCCCAGTAACCCCAGTCCCACACTGTGTTGGGGATGGTAGCTCAGCCCCGGTTCCAACCTGACTCCAGTCTACAGGGGCCTCCTGCAGGCTGGCTTCTGGGGTGGGACCCCAGCAAGCTCAGCCCAGGCACTGAGCACACACACTGGGATTCCTGGCATCCAAAAAGTCCTGATGACAACTTCAAATCCGAGAACAGGCAAGAAGAAAATTGAGAGTCAGAGGGTACTTTCAACTTCAACCCACACAGCAGTATAGGAAAGAAAAAGAGAAAAGAAGAAGAGAAATCACAAATGTTATCTTGAGAGTGTCCCTTTAAACACAGCTCCCCTGGGCTGAGCTCAAGGGGTTTGAAAGGACAGTTTGCTACTTATTATGTGTACGTCTCTTTTGTTCCTTGACCCTTGGAGAGTACAGTACAGTATGTTCCTGATTTTAATTAAATAAGGATCCCTCCTGCTCTGTACTACAGACTGATTCCAGCAACAGCAGTTTAGCAGCTACATTCAACTCCTATTTTTTATTTGCAGATAGATACTTGACCAGAAGACTAATCATCTCATTAACTGAGACCTTCAGCAGGGGCATAGAAAGCCCTGCCACAGAATATCCCTGGTAACACTGACACACGTTTATGTTAGAAGAACCAATCCCACCTGGGAGTCTATTTTGAACAGTTCTCAACTGGAACAAGAAAGCTCCAACTCCCTCAAAGAGAAAAAGAGGTATTTCAAAGCCTAAATAAAATAAAAACCAATAAATAAACCACCATGTGCAGTTGGGGGTGTGGGCAGGGGACTGACAGCCCGAACAGCTACAATAGAAATTATCTGATCAGATAAAGAGTGACATGCCCCAGCACTAGGGAAGCTGGAGAAGTGCCCCAGCAAGGGGCATGGCAGGCAAAGAAAGGATTCTGGGGCTTAAATAGCAAGAACCAGCCCCTGGTGCCCCCCTCGCTGAAGCTGTAAGTGAGGAGAGCAGCCTGACTCTGGATGCCATGCTCTCCTCCAGCCAGCCTGCGGAGTACAGGGGAATATCAAAGCCCAGTATCTTTGGCCACTAGATGGTAAAACAAGATGTTTGCATGGGAGCTTTCTGGAAAGCCAGGAGGAAACCCAGAAGTGTAAGCACTTGGTACAGGGGAGCCAAGAAAGGGAGATTCCTCTACCCCACATTCAGGCGCTCTCTCACAAAAGCTGAAAGGCCCAATATGAAATGAAGGAGGAAGGAGAATGGTGGTATCTTGACGGCCACCATTTCTCCATGTGCCTAGAAAGATGTACCAGTTTTTGGAATCAGGTTCACTTCTCCCCAGCATCAGGCAGTAGCACGGTGCTGCTCCTCTTCTGCTCTGACCAGCCTTGGGAAACACCAGGGACTTCTGCCAGCCCCACGCTCCTGGTCTCCACCTCCAGCCTGGCCAGTCCAGACCTCAGCCTCTGGGGCAAGGGCTGCCTGCAGACGGGCTCTTGCGACACAAGAAGGGCATTACTGGGACAGCAACTACTCATCCTCACGGGGATGATCCACTTGTGTAAATCCAGGCGTTAAGGGAGGATGCTACCCCGTAATGCTGCTTTTCCTTTGGCTCTATCCATGCAGGACACAATGGGGTGGCTGCAGGACAGAATATGCCATCAGTCCAACCACAGATGGGACAAACTCAGACGTGTGGAGTGAAGGAGCCCATTAGCTCTTACAGCCAAAGCAGAATCACTGCCTACAGCGTTTCCCCATATTCACACTTGTCCTGGTTTAAAACATAAAAATGGCAATGCAGCTCCTGACATCCACCTACAAACCAAACACACCGTGTCTGGGAAGATACACCACAGGCCCACAACCAGGTCCATCACCTGCTGTGGGTGTATAAACAAGAATTACCAGTCTGGGAGGCTCAAAGGCTGTGCCCTTGAGAAAAGGAAGAGAAGGCTCTTGTGTGTCCCGAGAACCATCTGTTTTTCCTTTTCCTCCTACCCACACTCAGCTGAATTTTGCCTTTTCCTCTTCTAACCCCCATCAGAAAACTGCTGGTGGAGCTCAGAGCCTGCTGGCATGGCCTGAAGTGACAGGAAAGCCTGTTATTCCCAGCTATTAGCCACGGGTTGGGACAGCAGATGTGACTCTGAGGCTTCCCCACCAAGGACAAAGCTGGTGAGCACCAGGCTCCTGCCTTCCCAGACATCACCCACCTCACTCTGACCTGCTCCTCTCTGCTCACATCAGGGTTTGGTTCTACCAGAAGAAAACATAACCTAAAACTCAGCGAGGAGCATTAAAACTGATGAATTCCTGTGCCCTGTGACGAACCGTCAAAGGAACCACGGGCAGGACGTAGGTGGATTAATTGCTCACCAAGTTACTACAACAAATTGCACTGGGAGCTATGCCTGTGTTTTCCAAACACAAACGCTGGAAAGGTTCATGAGTTGCTTTCGGAACTGCCCGGTGGACTTGGCAGTGCTGGGTTAACAGCTCGACTCGATCTTAAAGGTCTTTTCCAACCTAAATGATTCTATGATTCAGACAAGGCTTCGATTTCAGTTAGCAGTGTTTTAAAGACATATGGTGGGAGGCACCTTGCTGCCAGTGCCACTGCACCCTCCACATGCAGAGATGAGGGAGCAGTGTCCAGTGGGTGCCATGTGAATTCCCCACCACCAAAGCACACAAATGTGATTTAGTTCCCATCCTGACATAAAATTTCTAGTGCATCCTTGCAACCTGCAAGACACCGGAAATAAAACAACTAAAAACCTCTGTAGCTCCAAGGTACATGTTGCTCCTCCTCAGAGCAAGAATTACATAGACATGCAATGAAATAGAAATTAAGGAAGCAGAAAGACCATGGGCAGTCAGGGGCTCTGGCACATCAACAGGTTTGGGAGGCAACCAAAATCACTTTGGAAGTCTCAATGTTATTCTCTTGATAAAACAGCAGCTTCCCAAAGTATCACCCTAGGTAAGAGGAGCTGTGTCCCCTCTTAACCACCAGCTGGGCTGAGCCAGCACAAGCAGCATCACCAAAGACAGACAGACAGACAGACCAAGAGTGCCAAAAGTGCCATAAATCACCAAGCAAAGCAATGCAGCCAACGTTTAGATAAATAAAATGCTGAAGTGCCCAAGGCAGCCTCATTATAACACACTTCATATGTAGCAGAATGAAGAGGTTCTTGGGCCCAGCCAGAGGTGCCTACAGCATCCTTTGCACCCAGCAAGGGAGGCTGGACACATCCACACTGCCCCTGCCTGGGGGTGCTGCTCAGTGAGAGCACTCCCTCAAGGTCTTTGTGGTATTATTTGACTTGGGAACACCGAGAGCGCCGTCATCCTCCCCTTCCTGGGAAATCCTCTGACCCTAAATAACCTGAATCTATCAGGCTCATTTAGATACACTAATCAAACTGGCTAAAGCCAGGAGGCTGAATGCAGCATTACAGAAAAGCTCTCGGCAACACAAAAACAGCCCTGCAGCCCTGATTATACTTTTCCCCCTTTTTAACAGTTTTAAAAGCTTTCAGCCTGCTGCCTTACCTACCACAAGGTCTCCAACAACATCTTCTGCGCTGTCCCCTGACCCGAGGATAACCGCACACTAAACTAGTAACTGCTTACAGCCTTTCAGCCTCTCTCACTTTCCATTCTGAACACGTGCACTTGCTCGTGTGCTGCATTTCTCCTTCCCCTGCCTGCAGGTGCCCAGCCCAGGTTGCCTGACCTCCAACAAGGAGAAAAGGCAGGTTTGAAAGTGATGCTGGAAGTGATGCACTGACCTGCAACGCGTGGAGCCAGACAACACTACACCATTGCCATCAGCAGCTCTGACCCTGCTCTCTCAGCTCCAGCACATCCGTATGGATAAGGCATCTACCGACTGCTCCATCCAGATGGCATTCCCACAGCTGCAAGAATTATCCCCAAAGGAAAAGACCCCAGAGACACAAGGCCTGCAGAAAGGAAGCCTGGAGCTGGTCTTGCAGCGAACTGCTCCTCCTCTCTTCCTCCCACCAGCACAAAAACAAGTGCAAACACCCAGTGCTTCTGGCGTCCTTGGAAAACAGCTCTGGAGCAAACCCATGGAGACCCAGAGCGCAGCCAGACCAGCACCTGCAGCACAGCTCGAGCAGCCCCAAGTCTTGGATCCATTCCCTGCCGCTCACCACGTCTCCAGCCGAGAACAGAGCCAGGAGCTCCCCACTGGGTTTCAGTGCGCACAGCTCCGCTTCAAAGCCACCAGCTCTTGCTGTGCAGTGACGCCAGCAGCAGCGCTCCCAGGGTCCCACCACATCCGCCAGCTGAGCACCACTTGCACCAGCACCACCTCGAACCACAGCATCGGGCGCAGGACACCCCTCACCTGCGGAGCAACCAAGGCAACAGGACACCTCACCCAGCTCCGAGCCGCTGTCCCACACTGTCCTCGTCACCTCTCGCACGCAGGCAAACAGGCCAGGGCACTGCTCACGCTCATGGAGGAGCAAAACTCAGCTCCTCGCCACCTCCACCAAGGATTAGGACTCTTACGAGCTCGCCCAGCATTGGATTGCGAATAGTTTGCGTTTCTTAACAACGTGCTATTTCTGCTGAAGCACTCCCAAGCGTTAAGGTTTAAATGAGGCCAATTAATAATGGTGTGGTCCAACAGTGAGCAAAAAAGAATGCTAAAGCATCCCTATTTATTTCACTGTTTAAAACTTGTCCCTTATCTAATTTCAGAAGAGGTTGCCTGGCCTGTTTTGCTGTTCATGAGCAGCCCATGTGCTGTCTGGGAACCTTTGAACCACAGGGAATTGTTGGGGGAGGGCAGCAGGGCTGGTGTCCCCACACGCTGTGACACTGGTGGAATACAGACCTAGAGCCAGGCACTTTACACTGCTCTG